CGGCCCCGGCCCCTCCGACAGCATCACCACCATTCTCCTTTTCCTGATTCTCACCCAATTTCAATCTCCTCTCGTGCACCGCCATCATGTGTACCCGCAAGCGTGACACACGTGTGCAGCAGGACACGCCGGGCCAGCATACACAGCCCTGGCCTGCTGCCCCAGACAGCCATTTCCCCTTCTCTCTCGAGCCATTTCTCCTTCTCTCTCCCCCTCCTTTTTCCCCTCTTTTAGCCGAAAAATGCTACAATTACAGCCGTTTCCACGGCAACAAGCATGCTTCCCCCGCGATGCTGCAGAGCGCGAGCCATGTGCTCGATAGGGTCGTCACGGCAACGGCAGGATGTCACGCATGACGGGGTATGCACGTACACAGCTCGAGCACGCACAGGGACAGCCATGCACATGCGTGCTGTTGCTGCACCCACGCGACTGTGTACCCCCAGCCCGGGGTTCTGCCTGTGGACTCCTGGAGAGGGTCCCCAAATTTACGGGCTGAGCGGGGGAAGCGTCAATCCCCCACCCCACCCTGGGGTGAGGAAGAGGATGGTTAAGGAAGAAGAGGAGGGAGGTTTCCACAGCAACCGCCTCGTCTCCAGGGAAACGCGGGGAGAAATGTCAGTGCAGAGCCGAGGATGGTCCAGGGAGGGGACTGAGTCCCCAGGAGCCACAGGGTGGCACGGAGGGAACACAGCCACACCCGGCTGCCCTCACGTCACCCATCATGTCACCGGTCCCCCAAACATCCACCCCAGCCCCTGCAATGGGGCAGGATACGGCTCACCCCAAACCCAGGAGGCTGTGACAGCACATGTGACAGAAACCCATAGGACCAGCATCCCCCTGTCCCACACATCCCTGCCACGGTCGGGGGACCCCCCTGTGGGGGGGGGGGGGGCTGCCCCCTTCCCCCGCCCAGCCAGTCCCATTTACCAGTGCGATGGCCTTTGATGGAATAAATTTCCCGTGCCCGCTGCTGTATGCTTAATGTAATAAACCCAGCGAGTATGATTTAGAATAACATTTACGGAGCCGCAGAGTGTCATTTTGATGTGTCTCCCGTCTCCGCTCGCTGGTTATTAAACTGTATTGATTCTCCGGGAGCGGCTGATGTTTATAAATGTCAGGCCTTGGGGACCGGCTAACCTACCCCAGGGCTGCTGCACCGGGGAGAAATGGCCCCGGCCTGTGGACACCCCCAAAAGGGGATCTTGGCAATCCTGGCATCGCGCCATGCCCACCCTGGGGTGCTCGGTGCCCCGCTGCACCAGCTCCCGTGGCACGGGCGGATGGCATGGGCACCCAGAGCTCCCCTGCAACCGGTTAGCTGGCACCCACCTGTCTGTCTGTCCCCACAGCACCCTTGCACTGTGCCCACACAGACACCCAGCCACCCACCGCTGCCCAACAGCCCTTCATCCATCCCCTGACACCCAAACAACCACCCAGCCATCTCCCACCACTCCTGACACCCATCCATCCACCCCCCAACACCCATCCATCCCCACAGCACCCATCCATATCCCCAACACCCATCCATCCACCCCCAACACCCATCCACATCCCCAACACCCATCCATCCACCCCTAACACCCTTACACCTGCCCATCCATCCCCTGACTCCCTCCCATCCACTTTTCCACCCCCATAGCACACATCCACCTATCCATCCCCCAACTCCCACCCATCTCCCCTCCACTCTCACCCATCCCAATCACACGCTGACGCACCCAGGGTCACAGGAAAACCTGTCCCCCACCAGTCACCGTCACCTGTGGGTGCCCCATAGAGCCCCCTCTATGGCACCCCACGGCCAAACCACCGGTGTGCTACAGCCCGAGGGGGTCATTACCAGTTGCTAAACCACCTCCTGACTGCCCGGGCACTGTTCCCCACCCAAATTCAGAGCCCCCCAACAGCCTGGGCACCAGGGAGAGCCAGCCCACAGCGAATCACTGCCAGGGGACCTGCCCTGTGGACAGGGTCACTTCTGGCCCTCGCCCCTTCCTCGGTGTCATCCTCCTCCTCCTCACGCCCAACAGCCGGAGGATCTGGCAG